TCCACCCGCAAATGCATTTTCTGTTGACGTAAATTCTTTCGAAATCGAGGTTTTTGCCGATTTTCATAAAAATTGTGGGGAAAACAAACGTTTTGTCCCCTAAACTAATCAGCCACAGAGGAAGATTACTTGCTGAGTTTTAAATTCAAAATGGCTGAACAAGCAAATTCACGAAACATGTAGTAAAAGTAAATCGACTATCACGCAATCAATTATGCGTGCACCTGAAGTTTAAATGCCATGAAATATGTTGATGGTGGCCGGGATGTTGGAACGAAGATGTGAACGAAGCGTTGATGATTCACAAAGACGAGCGCAGAGAAGCACCTGTGAGATGATTTGGAAACACGTGTCGTCATCGCGTACGATGTAGGGTGCATCAATTCACAATTTTAAGATCAGTCTCTCGTCTCGAGCTTGTCTGGGTCATAGGAGTACACCGTTGTTCCCGTTTTCTCACGATCCGAAATTTCTGCGAGAGAGTGGGATGCCTCGGATCACACTGCCAATAAGTTTCCCTCCGCAACGTTGGAATGGGGCGCCAGGGGTGGGAGACAAAGGAGATTTTCTTTGTCGCTCCTGATGTTTTCAGTTTTCATATAAGAAAGACTTATATATAGAAAGAAATTCGAAAAAAATTCTCAAAGTATACTTTACATCATATTTGAGTGATCAAATAATGTTTCCACAGCTCTGTGCTATCCATTGAAACAAGAATTAATTTGCAAAGCTCTTGGCGTTCTCACGTTCTCACTTGCAAACCCAAGGCGGTTAAATTATTCTGCTTTTGGAAAGATGACGAAGTGAAGTATCAAATATTGTGAGAGTATTGAGAAGTAAACGGAAAATAATACTTTAAAGACTTACCTTATAGAAAGTGCTATAAAAATAAGAATGAACAATGCCGCGATTGCCAAACGCTGGTGTACAAGTATATTTCGGCTCATTCTAAATCAAAGCTGAAGCAATTTTAGTTTGCGTTTTACCCCACGTGAAAAAAGGAATAGCGACAAAGTGGAGCAACTTCGCTGTAACGTACATGTGATAGCATGCGCCAGACCTTGTGAGATTTCAGCACCGTAGTAGATAAAAGTCTACACTGTCTCACAAACAAAAACGGACAAAAGCCGTATAAATAAAATTAGATGTTGGTGAGTTGCCTACCAATTACTTGGGGCATCCTATCAAAATGATAGAGGTATTGTTGAAGGGATTGCAGCTATGCATGTATAGGGGCCTGCAGGATGCGAGAGTCGGACGTGCGTACGGCCATTGCGCCGCGCACGTCCGATGTCACTAAACAGGTGCCAAACTTATCCGCTTCAGCCGGTTCGTTCGGTTCATAGGTCAAATCACTACACTGTCCAACAGCAAAGGTGGTGAACCGAATGAACCTGTTGAACAGGATGGGTCTGGCACGTACCTGAGTCATCGGAGCATATCTAACGTGCGCGGCGCAATGGCCGTATGCACGTCCTACTCTCGCGATCCTGCAGGCCCCTAGGCTCTATTGGAATGTAATGTTGTCATTTCTATTGTTGTAGAGACAGGACAGACAATTTGCATCCGAAAGGGTTTTTCTAATTTTACCCTCCAGGGTTAGTTTAACCCTCACGGTTCGTTGATGAATACGGGCTAATCGCTTTCGGAGTAAGGTTTATCCTCAAGGGTAGATTTAATCCTCAGGGTTAAGCCTACCCTGTGTTTCATGAATACGGGTTAATCGCTTTCCAGGGTTAAACTAGCCCTCCAGGGTTAGTTTAACCCTCAGGGTTCGTTGATGAATACGGCCACTGGTCGCTTGTGTACTCCACAACTTGCTGTGAGCTCTATTACTTCAAAGCACATGCAGTCTCCTACTTGATGACTATGCAGCCTGGTGTTCTACAGGTCTGAGAGCGGTTCTATTTCGGACCAAGCACTGTTTTAAATTTGGAGGAAGGATATATACTGTCGAAAAAATTTGTGCACATGCGTAATTATTCTACTAGCGTTCGCGATTATTCTTCTTCCTTCAATTCATGTTCAATTAACCCTACTGGAAAGACTTCATGATCCAAAAAGTTTGCTCGCTGAGCGGACAGCTTCGCTCAAGAGCAAACATCCGTTTACATGTTTACGTCAAAGAGCGAAGCAAGGCGTCCACTTTAAAACGTTGAAATTCGAGAGATTTTGGTGCCCCGCAGCTCTAAGAATGCCTAAAAAGCTGTGAGTAGCTGGGATGTATGAGAGGAAGTACTGAGAGCTTGGTCTTCATAGGTGATCGAATCTAGAACTGCATAGTTGTAGTTTGCATAATTCGTTGAACGTTTTTAGTGTAATGTTTGGAATTTGACTAGTCATAGTGACGTGACGTCGATCGCAGATGTCAAGTAAAGAATTTTTTTAGAAAACCAGAGAAAAATCATGAGACCAAACCGAATCAATTTATCGCAGGCATCAGTGATGAACGTAAATATATAGACTGTTCAAAAAACACAAGGACAACATTAGTGCCTGGTGCAAGGTAGAATTGGCAAAACAAGACACAAAACATTGAAATCTCATGCGAATAAAGAGCTGCACAGATTTTTTTGCTGAAATTATTTCCTCCGGTGAAAAATATTTCCAAATGCACAGACACATTACGACACTATTATGCGTGTAATGGGCTATGGAAAATCGAAACAAAAATGACGAATCGCAAAAAAACTTTTGCAGATGGAGAGCGAACGCAAGGCAGTATTTTTTTCTGCCCAATACGTAATTGCTTGAGTAACTGTAGGTAGGCAATTTAACCAATCCACATATTTTCCACCTTTTACATACGTTTAATCTAAGCAATGTTTATCACACATTCATAAGATGATTTCAGAAGTTTATCTTGGCGCTATCTTGGCTAAAAGCCGCGCTATCTTGGCTAAAAGCCAAGATAGCGCGGTACACAAAAGCAGAATTGCTTGCAAGATTAAGGAGAACTCGTCCATCAAAATGTGTTACTGCTACCCTCACGCCTTGCTTACGATTTTACAAGAGCTGACAAATGGGGACCACTTGTTAAATGTTAATCGAGCAGAAGTAATCAGCGATTTTTGGTACAAGTTGACCTTAACAGCTACCAAAGGACCAGCACATTTTGAATCGCCCTCATACCTTCACTAGGCGAATTATCACACTATCCAACGTCAAGAGTTTTTGGCGGTTGCAAGATTTGTGAGTCGTGGTTTTCTGGGCCTCCGACTTATTTTTGCAGAAAATGTCGCAGTGATAGTTGGAACCGGATATTTTCGAGTAATCGTAATCGAATGATTTATTCGAAAAAATTGGAAGAGTCAATTGTTAAGGAAAGTAGATTTATCTGATTATTTGAATAATCACACGAATGAAAAAGACCTTTAATCCAATATTTTGTTCATTCGAGGATTAGAAATATGGAACTCATCGGAAAAATTTCGAATATTCGAGTAAGGGTTCGATTCGAAAGATTAAGGTACCAAGCTGCTTATGGTAATTGGGAAAAGTTGTATATGGTTGCAGTCTAAGCAACGAGCTCTCAGGAAATTACCAAAACTCAAATCATGACTTTTCCATTTCAAATGTCGCTTTTTCCTCCAAATTTTCACATCGACCTCAAGAAGAAATGCAAGAGCGCGTTGATACACTATACGAAACAATTTTTGCTTTTTTCCATGAATTCCCACAAGTTTCTGATGGAATGTTCCCTTACCCAGTTGTTACACTAAAAAGTAACTATGCGAAGTACATTCAACCACTATGGCGTGTAAGTGACAGTAGTTCTGCTATTTGATTACAACCATGAGCATTCTCACATAAACCCACCCATCTTAGCCTTTTTAGCACCTTTGACGCAATCAAATTTGTGCTAAGCATACTTGTGATGTTCCATATAAATAAACCTCCGATGTGTCCTTGCAAGTTTGAAAAGAGCTAATCACAGCGATGGATTAGCAGAAAAAGTCTTTTGTTGCAATGTTGTCTCTCCTCGGTTCTGAGTCTATTCAGAGACCAAAGATGAGCTCAAATGATCATCAGTGTGCTAAGCAGAGAATGGTCAGGACTTAACCAGCCATACAAACATGTTATACGCTCAGGTTTTCAAAGAATGTGTTTCTTCCCTCTAATCAAATTAAAAATAGCCACTGTAAATCCGCGCCATCAGACTGCATTTAAAGGAAGTATATTCGTGAAAACTCGAATAAATCTCTCAAATTAATTTTCTCTCATACTCCTTCCGAGAGTCGCTTGGCAGATAATAAACATATATTTAAAATCAGCGTTTTTAGGTCAGCCCGATGTACAGCTTGTCTGGAATGGCTGGGTCAAGTTCTAACCTTTTCCTCATAAGCTCACCATTTTCATTTTAGAGATCATGACCCGATATGATCTGGTTTCTTCAATAAAACAACTCAATATAGCACGATTCATAAACCACTGTGGTTGACTTATGTTTTAATCAAAAATGCACTCTCGCTCCACAATAAAAAAGATCTTCAAATTTACACTTTCCCAATCTTAGCGGGTGCGCCAAATTACCTATGTTTTCACAAAACACAAACTTATAAACCTGAATTCTACATCACCTTAATGCACGGATACACCATGTAATTGTTGCTCTTCGGAAAAACTAGTGATGAAAAATTCAAAGGGTTAGAGATCCATTGGATAGAAATCAGCGAAAAATTACCAATCGTATGCATATGAAAATTAAGGACCTGATGTTTACGCTAAATTATTGTAGTGCCATATGAGAACCTGATTTTATGGCATGAAGGTTCGACAAGCGTGACCATTATGTAATAGAAAATGTCGAGACTTGCAACAATTCAATTAAAATTCTTGAATCAATGGTAATCCAAGCCTAAAATTGAACCATGATGATCCTTTTATTTACTCTGAAAATATAGCCCCAATATATGAATGGAGCATGAAAGTCTACGGAGAGCATTATTTCAATCCATGTAAAATCATAACGACATCGTTCATTGACAAAACAACACCTACTTATAAAGTTGTACATATTTACATACACACAAAAAATGTTCGAGGAAGTACGAGACTAGAACATATGGCCGCCATTTTGGCGACAGAAAGAGGGCTACACATATGAAAGGCCAGCCATTTTCACAAAACACAGTTTTTTACCTTCAAAATGCTAGATGTTAGTGGCATTTTCGGAATTTTTACAAAAACTATTTACATAGGAAAAAGAAAGAACAAAACCTATGCATAGCAACGTGATAAACATTTTGTTAGATGGATTCTATTCACACAAATGATTAGCTGCTTAGAACAGCAGCAGGCGAGGAGATAAGAAAGCCGGTGGATTCAATTTCGTAAGAAATTTTTTATGGAGAGCGAGGCAAAAAAAATAGTACCCCGAAAGTCGCGCATACACGTATGCAGTGCTTAGCTCGTATGGAAGAGAGTTAAGCGAAGGGTTGAAGGAACTGTGGCCCCCTACTTCCAGGTGGGCACAGTTTGAAGAAAAATCGAAAGAGAAAGAAAGACTGGTGTAAAACTGTTCCAAAAAATGCAAGTTGGGACACCGCCACGCGGTGAAGTGATAGAGCTGATTGAACTTAACTCTCGGATAATCCCGAGTCAAGGAGTTGGAAAGCCCGGGGGATTACTGAGACGATTGGCGGGGATTAGCACGGTTACTCGGGGTGACACATCTATACCCAAACAATGGAACATGTCGAGATTGCACTCATATTGCAGCGCTAGGCGCCATGAGGAGAAAAGCATTATTTAGAAGGGGAGAATACCGGTGAAATGGAGATAAAGCTACGAAGGAGGAATAACTGAGGCTGGGTCCAGAGCTGCCCGTGCTAGCGCCGTGCCAGAGCCGTTCCAGCGCTGCGGCAGAATCCAAGTGTGCACGCCTCGCACTAATCGATCGACGTGTCGCCATGGCGCTGGAACCGCTGTGGCACGGCAGTGGAACATCGCTGGCACGTTGCTGGCACGGACAACTCTGAACGCCCCTTGGATGCTAATCGCACCCGTCTAAGCAGATTCGACAAGAATGCGATCGCTATCCAAGGCCTCATCACTCTCGGAAGGAGGGAACCAGTGGCGGATACAGTACTCGATCAGATAGGCAAGCATGATGTATGCAGCTGTAAGGATGCACAGAATCAGCAGATACTTGAGCACGAGGATCGGAAAGATCGAACGTTCGATGACGGCACTGCAGAGCGGCAGCTGAAAGAGCAACTTTTTGGGCAAGAAAATGTCCAGTGGACTCAATTTCAACTAAATGGACATGCGAAACGAAACGTAAGATGAGCCTAACATTTACGTCTGGTGACGTGAAATCTTCTAAAATTTCCAAAACGCGCTTAGCGTGACGGATGCGAATCTTGAGACTTAGCAAACGAAACTTCAAGCAACTAAGCAAACTTCAGCTTCGTTTCACTTCCAAGCCGAAGTAACAGGAGACTTACCGATTCTCGGGGAATGATCGAGCAGACGAGCTCGTTCATGAAAGCGTTTGTGGAGACCAGACGAGAAGCTGCCTGTAGCGAAGGCTCCAGATAAGTCATGATGTTGACTGCGATCATCAGACGAGCACCGAGCAAGAATGGAAGCGACAAAAACGCTACAGTATCCACAATTCGCACCTAGAAAGATTGCTTTCAGATATTCAAATTTTTTGGTCGAACTATAGACTTACCACAGCAGTTGTGACGCGGCTCATCTGATGCCAATATGTATTATAGAAGAATATGATAATTGCACTTGTTGACAAGGATGCGCACATTGCTCCTACGGTCATCCATAAGTTCTTTTTGTACTGAAATCAGTGATAAAATAAGAGAGAGACTTTTTGAGAATTTCTCGCGCTGTGAATTTCATTAACCTGATGTTCACTGTTTTAATGATAATGTAAACGAACAAGTACTGATCATATCATATTTGTTACCATAATAAAACTCGTCGGTAAAATTACGGTAGGTGCAAAAGGAACCTAGCCCTGACCTTACGAAGAGGCTCACCGATGCACCATAAGCTACTAATAAACTTAATCAGCATTTAAAACATTCCCCCATTTTCACCAATTTCCGAATATCAATGGATGACACAGCTCTCCTAACAAAATTCGCCACCGTCATATATCTACTACCTGTATTCGGACAAAAATCGCATGAATTCTCATTATTCATGGCCAGTTTGATTATCCCTTCGTAGACGTTTAAACAATAAAAATAAGTTTATCCGTATTCTGCGATACCGATACCTCAAAAGTGAACCAAAAAACCACGAAAGACTCCGCGTGCAACTTTTCAAAGTGTGAAAGCCATTATAAAAGTAGTCTAAAATCGGCTGTATGTTCCATAAACCTAATAATTTGTGAATCCTCTATCAAATTCAGTATTCCAGCCTCTTTATCAAAACAGCCTGCCTTATCAGATTTGGTATCAATTCAGACCAAATTTGTCTTATAATGTGGGGTGGTTAACTGTATTACATTTTGTTTGATGAAACCTTAACACATTGACCACTATGCAGATTCTTAGTTGTCTGCCTTCTGGGACCAAGGCCAACCCATATTTTTCGACTATGATTACGTATACTGCCATCTACAGTACACCTACAGTAATTCTGAAAAGCTGACAAAAAAATGTAGAGGTCATCCTTAGATTTAGGGCAAAAGAAAGCTCATGGAATAAGTTTATCCTAGGATAGTAATCATTTCAACAAGATTCAAGCCTTGACACACATGGTGTGTCAAGCGGTCCCACACGGTAGTCATTGCTTGACACACCATGTGTGTCAAACGGTCGTCAATGTGTTAGGTAAGGTCACAAAGATTTGGAGATATTAGGGCTCAAAGATCATATGGCAGAGTAGAACTTTCCGCTTTTTCTACTTGAGACATTGAGATTTGAACAAAATCCATGTGTAAAAATGTCAAAAGGCATGAAGTGGCATTTTACACAAAAGGACATGCATTTTGTTTCTGGCAATCGACCCCTACACCAAAATGAAAAGGACTCCGTCTACTACTACAGGCGCATATACGATCACAATTTGCTCTACAAGAAAGCGAATTTCCCATCAACACTTTTGTCATCTTATGTTGTCCAGACATGACAGCTGTGATGCCAACTTGCAGTGGAGAAGTTTTCATACCAGCAGAAGCATCATTCGGAGAACGTAAACAAGGAAGTAACCGAGTTTGTGAGGCCGAAACTTTGTGCTTGACTTTCGGATTGCTCAGCTGAGAAAACAAAGCTGCCGCATTTTTTTCGGCGATGAGAACATAGGACTACTCATAAGGGCATTCTATCTACGAAATCACAGCTGAGAACGTGAATTCTCCGAAGGCAAGATTTGCACAAAAGAATGCAACTTACATCTATGAGAGCAATCATGACGAATCGTACCAAGTTGATATCGGCTTGGTTCCCAACCTCTGGGGATGCTCGATATTCAACCTGAAGGTGATACATTACTCCTGAGGACAAGCTGATATAGAACGTACAACTCTCACCTGATTAGCCAGAGACTCATATGCTCGGAATGTCGTCAGAAATTCTCTGGTATAGGCAAGATGTAGTGCAGCGATAACGAATAATACAAACATTTTCAGATGATGTGGGTAGAACTGTCCAGTCTAAATGCAAAACATTTTACAAATGACTTGAAAATCTAGAAAATGCGCTTCTTTTTCAATTTTGCAGTTTATGGCAAACTATGCAGTATAATATTATAATTAGCTCAACTGAAGTCCAAAGAAAATGTTATTCTTCTTCTCTTTGAGAGCTTGCGCCAAACCAAGCTCTATCATGGACCAAGCTTTCGTATAAATTCCGTTTCAGTCAAGTTTGGAGTCAAAAATCAAAACACTTCTTCCGCCAAAAAGCTCAAGCTCCGAAAAGATCCTTCGAACCTCTTTACACACTTAAAGCTTGCCAACTTTGCTATAAATCAAAGTCTAAAAGACTGATGAGAACCGCGAACTTCCTATAAATCTCTTCCACATATGTAGTCAAGAACCGTCTATATAAGTGAACTAATTTCCTCAAAATCCATGCAAATATTACATCCCATTTGAAGGAGAACGATGTGAGAGTATATTTCAACACAGTGACTCAAAATTAAAAATCTTTCTCAACTTCAACTTTTTATTCGTTAGCATCAAGTAACCTTCCACTTCACTGTTATGCACATTTCGCGGAAAATTTGCTGACTATAACAAATGCATGCGCAATGTGCAAAGGCACTACCGTAGTACTACCGTATCTCACTATCCAAGGAGTTAGTCAGAAACCCGCACCAAAATTTTCTTTGAAAAATGATGAACCACAATATCTTTCGTGGTCGATAAGAAGTGGGGCTGTAGAAGTATTTAGTCCAAATTTTCGGAAAAGCAATCTCATGATTTGGAAGTTTACCGCTAAATTAAGAAATGCTTTCTTTTTTGATAGTTACGAAGGAGATAACTGGCATGTTGGACTGTCAGTGTCACTTGCTTCTTGATACATCTTATAAGTAAAATAAATATGATAGAGAGCACAGCTTTCTATATAACTCTACACTCCATAACATTTTTGTTTGTCAAGATAAGAAGGCACTTCCAGACAGATATTAACTGGGGCGTACTTGCAAACAATCTTCCAACTGTCCAAAATCATGTGTGTTTTTTGAAAAAATCATTAGTGATGTAAATAGCTTAATTCAAGCATTGAGATTTGTATTCCTTTAGGGGTGCACCTCCAAGAAGTTTATAAAATTCTGATTTGGGAAGGACAGATACTTTTGTGCCCGACAAAGAGTAAGAGATATGTAGATTCTATGTTTTGTTTAATCTTCAATTTTTTCAAAATTTTTAAGAAAAAACTCACAAACAGATTGATCACTCGCTTGAATGAGCACCTCCATGTTCGCGGCGTGCCGGAACTCTGCTTGTTTTCATCGGACTCATAGAGTGACTCCTTCGTTCGAGCCGCTTCGATCAGGGCTGCCGAGATTGATGGCATCTGTAAGTGTGGACGAATCAGTAGCCAGGAAGCAGAACTCGAGTTTTGACAGACGGGAGCCGTGCTGGCCGACGACAGCGAAAACATTTGGTGCAAAGCTATCAGTGCTGCGTCATCGCGAATCGACGGACACAGAACGTTCGAATCTCTCACAGCAAACTATCGTGCCGTCAACACAAAGGCTGACGAGAGGCTGGCTGGCCGGCTCTCTGATCGGAACAAAGACAGTTTCGAGCCATTGCACATGGCCCCCAGTCGACTTTATAGGGCCATTACAATCAGAAAAAAATTTGAATTTTTCTCTTGTCATTGGAAGCAAAGTTACCAGGTTGTAAGGTTCATGTTGGCACAGGTAATGGAAAAAAGGCAAGGTTATTGAGATAGCGTCAGTTTTGGGTTCTATAAATTTGCTTCCAATAATTTTTGATCAGTGCCTACCCCAAGATGAGTTGAAATTTAGTAAGTAACCTGTTTTATAGAATTGCGCAATTGGCTTGCTTACCTATGTAAATAATTGAGACGCTATGAAGTTCTAAGAAATTTAACCGAGAATTATTTGAGATCGTGGCTAACGCTTGGCCCCTTCATTCAAAAAATCCCTTCCCCCAACTCAGATAAAATTTCTTCGAACACAGCTGCTGAAGTTACTAACTGCTGGCAATCCTCGTAATTTCGGTTCGTTAGAATGTTTTACCCGGCTTGAATTTCCTACACCTCGAAAAAAATAGATTTGCGGGTATTCAGCAACTCTGGGTCCCATAAACTTTTTTATCCCAAGATATTGGTGCTATAGTTTTTTATAACATCAGACAAATTTGGCAAAGGAGGGTTATTTATACTTCGCAGATTCCGTTCAGAATAATTTTGAAATTGTCGCACATTCTCCGTCTCACACAAGACCTTCAATTCTAGCAATAATTCTAATCGACAGGCGCTGAACATTTGCAGAATTTCAAACAGTTGTTTAAATTTTATAACAGATTGGAATCAAAAAATAAATTCACAGAAAAACAGTAAAATGTTTTTTCTTTTGTAAATATTCTAAAAGAAAAATTTGAATGCTGTGTTTTTTGACTAATTAGTTGAATAGAATGTCTAGTAGCTCCGATTTTGGTAAGATAGAATTTGTACAAAAGGAGCTTTACATCAACTCACTATAAAAGGTGCTTTACATCAACTCACTATCTTTTTAGATATCTGCTTTAATTTCAGCTCGGATTATAAAACCTTGTGATTGTATTCACTGAATTTATGCTTATTTGATTGAGTTTTTTCTGATGGGGGACGTACTTTTATCCCTTTGTGGACAGTTAAATTTTTTTGGCGATTAGACAGCTTCATATTATCGTGATTCGCTTTTTCTTCGCTAATGATGAGTTGATAAAGAACGAAAAGCATTTTGCAAAAGCGGAGGCGTAATCAGAGGTGAATAAACCAAACTGAAAAAATCATTGAAGCGAAAAAAGGGTGGTACGACCAGTCGAGAATTTTTTACTGCATTTTGAAGGACAGTGATAGTGTCAGTTTTTTATGATCTATTGCATTTTTACTTCCGCAATCTGACAAATGATTCTATGACAGAGAAGCAGAAAAACAAAGTAGTGATCGGAGAGCAATAAAAAAAAGCTCAAGTTGAGCAGGTAAACGACGGGGGGGGGGGGGGAGAGGCCGGGGCCTGGCGACACCTCGGCCAGCCCAGCCGTCGATCATCAATGAGGAGACTGTCATCCTGGGCATAAACGGGCGCGCCATGCTCACGTGCCCGGGGAACGGGGGAGGCTGAGGAATTTTTGTTGTAAACACCTATTTTTGTTACCAAGGGGCAATAACTGAAAGGCACAAATACACTAAATTCACACACGAGAGAGACATCAGGACGAAGTGGAAGTGGGAAGTGAAGCGGGGCGAGCGCGATGTGCATGGAACGGTGATGGGGGGACGACGGTGGGGGCCGAAGTCGGTCGAGGTCAGCAATTAGTCTCTTCATCGCTCGCGCTCCCTTGTTCCTCGATACCCCCCGTGTGTGTTCGCTCTTCTAGCTACCCCCATGTGTTCTGTTTTTTTTTCAATTGCCGAACTAGTGCGCGTGTTCTCGCGGACGTCCTGGCGATACTCTCAATTAGAGAAGATAAACCTACGACTTTTGAAAGTTTTGATGCTATCGCAAAGGGAAAGAAGGGCGAGGGACGGGGAACACAGGGGTGAGATGGTTCATCTGCATCGCGAATTTCCGATTTTATCGTAGGTAAATGTTGCAGATGTCCTGTTCTAATTTAATTAGTCCACATTCACCCTAAAGTGAACTGTATGGGGAAAATTGAAAATGTCTATCGATTTGTCCCACATAACCTAATTTGAGCAATTTGTTAGAAAATAGGATAATTTGCAGGCTGCCCCGAACTCATGTTAAGAAAGTATGGAATGTCTACAGTCTTTCTGAAAAATCTCAGGTAGAAGTAAACGTCGCAGTTTTTCGGATTGCAATGAGATCATACTTGAAGTAAGAATCACATCGACATTTTGTAAATCGAAGCTGAAAATATTCCCCCTCCCCTGATTTTCCTTCCGTCTTAGCTTCTCATATGTCAAAATAACTGTCATACTCACTGAGAGCTAGTTTAATTTCATCACGCTCTTTACCAATCAAATTCTTCGAGTATTCATCAGGAAAAATTGGTCTTCAATATTTTCGCCCAATAAGGATGAGATTTTGCACAACTTTTAGCGCTAGGTTCTGATGATTAGCATTATTGAAGCAGATTAATTTCAAATAAAACTGCCCCTCCTCTCAACAATGGAAAAGCCTGTACGTTATTACTCATGAAAACCCATTCCATTCACGAGTCTAGGGAGAAATGTGAATGCAAAAAAAAACTATTTCTAGAAGTGCCGCTATGTACCAATTGTCCTCGTTATTGCCAGATCAAAGTAGGTCGTGAAGAGTGACATGTAGACATCTCAATACCGTAATCTTTCCAGAAATATTTTTTACGGAAAAATATGCTTTGTAAGCAGTGCAGATAAGCAACAAGTTACACACGTGAATTGCCAACATTCACTTCCGCGTTCCGCACGTCCAGAAGTGCATCACTCTGTTCCCCTATACCCTCCATCCACTGCTTTGTACATCGATTCCCATACAAATAATAAACATCAAGTGTGTAATTCGGGCAAAAATTGACCACGGATTGGTAGGAAAGGAGAAAACTTGCGTTTTATTGCAAATTTGACACATTTTTCTGTGCAATTCACGAGTGGGCTGAAGAATTTATAAGAATAGTCTTCCAAAAAAGTGGCTACCCGCAAGTAAAGCCTGGGTAATTTAAGCATGATTATTTCCCGAAAAAAGTGAACAATGCCATTTTTCTTGTTTGAAAGATTTTCTACCACGTACCACGTATTGAGACGCTCCTCCTGCCCCTCTAAAAACTTTGTGGGGCCAATGTTGCAGTTCACTGCTTACAAGAATAAAAAACTCTGGTAGAAGCGCCTGCGGGAGCCACTTGAAAAATGGAACAAAAGTTAGAATATCTACATGTATCATCGGTGATAAATCGAGGTTATTGATCTTTCATAACGATTCTTAGGTGATATAAAGTAGGAGAGAAATTTCACTCGTTTTCGGTCTGCTGATTCAATGCGCTTAAGAATTCTTATCTCTCCTAAAGAACAGCTGAGCAGTTTGCCGATTACTCATTCGAAGAAGATAGTCTTTACTCATCATTCACGGTGAAAAGGATTACTTTCCAGGCACTGGTATTCTCAGACATTGAAAACTTATATTTTGGGCTATTGTTTTGGGAACTCACAATGCGTAGATATTCTACGAAAACTGGCTGATGGTCTCTTAAGCTCAAAGTAGGCAGAAAAAAAGAACGAGTACTACGAAAGAAACGATCTCGGCTTGCTGATATCTCTACAACGATTCTCTAGTTTCCAAAACTGCGGGAAAGCCATATTCATAAAAACAAAACCAAAAATTGGCCCGATAGAATTTGACACTGCAGATCTGAAATGACAATGCGCGTTAGCAAGACTGTCCGTAACCTTGTTCCAAAACGAAAGAGGCAGCCGTAAATCGATTTCAATGTTCGGATTTCGCGAATACAACAAAATCCCCTTTATGACAAGTTAATGGATATGATGGCTGCATATGCGAGCTTTCCAGTAGCCCACGAAAGCAAAAATTCCCATGTGAACGCTGTTCGGGAGATGAAAAAAAAACATGTGGTTGCGGTACTGCGGGAGAGCGCGTTGCGAAAACGAAATGGGTCACGCCGGTCGAAGACCTAGTTGTCGCGTCGAGCGAGGTCACACATGGGCCCGGCCCAAAGAACGTGGACCTGCATTAACGCAGAGTGAAAAAAGTGTGGAGATGGGATGCGCGAGATCGCGCAGAAACGAATGAGCGAAGATAGGAAGGAGGTCGGCCCCAGTTCTGCACTACGTGGCGGAAAAGAGAGAGAGAGAAGAGGCGCGAATTCGAAGCGATGATGAGTAGACGAGCGAGCGGATGAAGGAGAAAGTGGTGCTGAGGTCAGCGAGCCGTGCAGGACCAACGGCGCCGGTGGACTGTCGACGTGGGACGAAGTGAGCTGACCAGGTCGGTCGGAGCGAGACGCAGGCTGGTACACGGGTACGCCGTCTGTCGGGGCATGGCACGGGCCGCGCTGGCCGGGCCGAGAGAGACCGCGACGCAGACACCGCGACGATTACTCGTGTCGAGTCCCCCGACGTCGCAGCTGCACCGTCAGCAGCAGCATCCCGCCGCTCTCCCCGCTCTCGATGATCGCCGTGGCCGCGTCACGGATGGATCGGTGCTCTTTCCCGAGTTTAGAATAGCGTTGATAACCAGTAGCAGATTGTAATTCCCATTTTCTCCAATCACTGGGAAGTCTTAAAGTGATGTTTTATAAGCATTTTCCATGCTGAGACGATAGAGAGAGCGAAGCCGAGCTTGCAAGCTAATCCTACGCAAAAAGGTAATCTGGGATGAGAGTGACGGGAGATACGGGGGGGGGGGGGGGGAGGCATGACGTAAAGCGTGGTTCAAGCAGTTTTTATCGCGATTGGCTATTACATTAACATTAAAAGTAAGGTTTTGAGAGTTCGAAGTTTTGTGGAATTACGAGTATAGCAGAAACTGTATAAATATCGAGGTCTGAAGAAATAGAAATTATTAAATTGTGAAGATAAAGCGTGAAAATATTTGGAAAA